AGATTTGGTTGTCTGTCATACATCACAGTACCGAGGAGGTCAGGTCCAAAATTTGGAAAATTAGGAATGAGAGTTGTACTCATCGGGTACACTCCAAGTGGATACATATTCCTTAAACCTGAAGAAGGGAAGTACTACGAAAGTAGAAATGTCAGGTTCAATGAAAAATTAGTCTATGGAGACAAGTATTTAAAAAATAAGATTCAAAACTTTCCAGAAACCGATGAAGTGATAGATAAGAATAAATGGCTTGTTGAATTTGATAATGATGAAGTTCAGGCTGAGAAATCTTTAAAATCGGAGGGAGAATTGAAGCGTAAAATAGGTCGACCAAGAAAAGATGCTAAATCATCAGAAAAAGTCAAAGAAAAAGAAATTTCTGAAAACACTAGTAAAATCATCACAGATACAAGGTTTAATGAATTACAAATTGATGAAAGTCTAAAGGAGAGAGTTCTTCTTACTAGTATGGTTGATAATGAAGTTGAATTAGATATAGAGAAAGTAAACGATGAAGTCTTTCATGCGCTTTTGTCTCAAATAAATTCAGATCCTTCAAATTTTAAAGAAGCGGTTCAAAGTAAAGATAAAGAGTCCTGGATATCAGTTGCAGAAAATGAACTAGGTTCGATAAAGAGAAAAGCAGTATGGAAAATAGTAGATAGACCGATTAGAATGGAAAATGGACAAAAATTGAATATTATTGATTCAAAGTGGGTATTCAAACGTAAGCTTGAAGCAGATGGGAATGTGAAATTTAAGGCACGTTTAGTAATTCGTGGGTTTAAAGATAAGAATGTTTATGAAATTAGTGAGACTTATGCTCCAGTTTCAAGATTACCATTGGTAAGAGCAGTAATAGCTATTATTAATAAATATGATCTCGATGTATGTCAATTAGACGTAAAGACGACATTCTTAAATGGTGAAATTGACGAGGAAATATATATGGAGATTCCTGAAGGTACTCATCACTCAGACAAAGAGAGGAGATGTAAAGTATGTAAATTAGAGAAGGCTTTGTATGGACTTCGTATAAGTCCCAAAAGGTGGAACATGAAATTTACTGAGGTTGCATTGGAAATGGGTTTTGAAAATTCAGACTTAGAGCCATGTTTATTTACTTGGAGAGATGGGATAAAATTCTTGATTTTATTACTCTATGTAGATGATATTCTACTAGCTTGCAATGATAAAATCAAATTAGAAGAGGTAAAAAGAAAATTAAGTGCTGAATTCGAGATGACAATTCTAGGTGATCCTAAAGAGTTCTTGAGTATCACAATTAGGCGAAATCGGGAAAGTAACGTCATAGAGTTGAGTCAGGAAAAATATATAGAGAAAATACTGGTCAGATTTGGATTCGATGAACCGCACCCTCAGAGAACTCCAATGAATACTGCACAAGTCACAAATAACGAGAGGAAAAATAGAGAGGAAGAACCAGAAGAGGAAAATATGAGAATTACAGAGACTAGAGGAAATTTCCCATATCGAGAGGCTGTGGGGAGTCTCTTGTATTTAGCAGGTGCCTCAAGGCCAGACATATCTTACGCAGTAAATGTGTTGAGTAGGCATCACGTGAATCCAACCGAAGAGGATTGGATTATGGTGAAGAGAGTATTTAGGTATTTGAAAGGTACAAAGAGGTTAGGATTGAGATATGTGGGTAAGATGGATGAAATTGAGAGCTTTTCAGATGCAAGTATCGCAGGTTGCAAAAATTCACTCACAACATGTGGGTTTGTGATTAAGTTATTCGGTGATCCAATAATTTGACGAACACATAAACAATCCTATGTAGCTCTGTCCACTTGTCATGCTGAATATGTTGCGATGAGCGAGGCTAGTCAAGAAATGTTATGCATTTACAATTCTTTGAGACTAATCATGGTTGCACCTCCACTCCCCATGATATTATGGTGCGATAACAGAGCTGCGATAGTAAACTCAGAAACCAGTGGTGGTAATAAATTGAGACATATAATTGAGACTCAAGCTCGTCACATCAAGGAATGTGTAAAAAGAAAACTCATAGCGGTCAAGTGGGTTAAATCTAAGGATCAGCTTGCTGATATTTTTACAAAGCCTTTGGCTTTTGAATTGCATAAACGTTTGACTGACGAAATAATGAATATTAAAATGTAAAATATATACTGTTCTGTTCTGTTAATTTAGGCTCCAACTAGGGTTATACAGATTCGACGAGATTACGGAGACTGGATCTGATTATATGAAGGTTGCTTGATTAAAAATGAAACTAAATGTTATGATTAAGATATTGATGAGAGTTTAAAAAGAAAAAGGTAACACAGAGGCAGTCGGGAGGGAGTGTTGGATATGTAGAGCGCCTGCACTCTGTTTTACCTACTGATACGTTAGTGCGGTTTCTTAACACCGTACGACGCTAACACGCGTCATGAGTATAGTTTATCACTTGTGTGTTAACCTTTGAGAAGGAGAGAGTTACGAATATATACTTTAACTTGTTTACGATAATTCTGTGTATAATTATTGACTCTACCACCATAAAAACCCTTCATTTTATATTACTGTTGGGGAATTTGATGACTTCACCTTAGCCGAATCAATCGATAATGTATTCTTGTCCGGACCAAATACTTCGAGTCAATTTATTATTGTGCGTTTGTTAGAAGAATGATGATTATTATGGCAATTCTTTCTTTCTCTTTTGTTTTGTTGGTAAGACCATTATGTAAGAATATGTAAATTCCTTATTCTAAAAATTTCAATAGTGCAACACTTAAAGACAATGTGGATTTCTTCCTTTTTTTGTAGTTTTGACCACCCAATATCCATTTCCACCTGAAATCCACCCCTCTCTCCACAACCTAGCACACTGAGCGAACCAAGGACCGTTACCTTTCCCCAGAAATCTAGTTTTCTCCCTTTTGAGTACATTTTAGAGATTTTCGAATTAGTTAGAATTGATTTTGTAGACTCCTCCGGTTTGGTGACTCCGGTTGAAAATCACCTGGCGCCCATAAATTTTGCGTTTTGAGTTTAAGGCACTTCCGTAGTAAGTATACTTGGTGATAATTTCGAAATAGTATAAAGACGCAATATTTGGATCATATGTTGTTGACCACATTGAAAAGATATTCCCAAAATTTCAAGTCCCTGGTCCACCCCATTTTTGAGATATGCATCGCCAAATATCCAATTTTTGTGTCTTTTCCATTTTTGACGATGTATATTTCGAAAATGGGGTGGACAAGGTACTTAAAATTTTGGGAATAGTTTTTGAATATGCTCAACAAGATATGATCCAAATCTTGCGGCTTTATACCATTTAGAAATTTTCACCAAGTATATTTACTGCGGAAGTTCTTTAACCAGATTCAGGGGAAGAAGGGCGAAGGTAATAGGCTTTTTTAACCCCCATGCAAAAATGTCACTTTACAGAATTTATGAAAATATGCCCGGGAGCACCCACGTTCCGAGAGCATTTGTGTGAGATAATAATTAACCTCACCATGGCTACGATTCAACCAATCACCTACATGAGGGATCAAAAGGTGAGTCCATCTCACTTTGGTAGAGGTGTCCCACTTTAGCTGCCATTGCTGCAGACTCTTCTGCCTCTCTTCTGCATTGAGTTTACAATGACCTTCGTTTTTCGGCCAATATTTCTATGGAGAGCATCCCGGAGATGACACACACTGCGTCCTCCGATACTGTACGGTAAGCCGTCACCATTCGCAGAGCACTTAGTCAATAGACTGGTGCAACCTTCCGCCATGCTTCCTGCAACTGCAATGCATCAACCCAGGTGGAAATGCCGTAGATGAGTACTGACGTGACCACCGATGACAGCAGAGACGCGATAAGGCGGATCTAACTCTAGAAGCATTAACACCCACGTGCTCGGTTTGCTGCTTGGAATTGAGTCTAACATCGATCATCACCCCCAGGTATCGGATGAAGGCTGAGAAATAATTTCACAGGACCCGGCCTGCAGCGTTATTGTTTCGATTTTCTTTCTGCTGATGATCAGCACGGCTTCCGTTTTATGCTCCGCTAGTTTTAGCCCCACGGCATCCATCCAGTGGCGGATCGTCTCGAAGGTCGTGTCGAAGCTGTAGTTGATCTCTCCCAAGTATGTGCCCACGATGACTACAGCCACGTCATCTGCGAATGCCACGAGCTTAGTTTCCCGGGGCAATCCGAGTTTCAGTAGTCCGTCATACATGATATTCCATAACAAAGGACCCAGTACTGACCGTTGAGGTACCCCTCTGGTAACTCGATACTTAGATCCGTACTCCCTGTCATACTTAAGGACTCGTCCAGTGAAATAACTATTCTCTGCAAGTATCCCGGTAAGTTGAATTTCAACAATGCCTCCCTGATACGGTCCCATTTGGCTGAGTTAAAAGCATTCTTAATATCTAGCGTGACTACCAAGCAGTACTTCTTTGTGCCATTTAGCCATCTTTTTCCTGAGATCGCGTCCCTGGCGGTGTTGATAACCATGTTAATAGCGTCTACGGTGGATCGGCCTTTTCGCAACCCATATTAGTTGTTGGCCAACAGGGGTTCCACAGCTGCTTCTATCCTTTGGGGGACGATACGCTCGAGGACCTTGCCGGCGGTATCTAGCATGCAGAGGGGACGGTATGATGAATGGTAGTCCGGTCGTTTATTCCCTTTCAGGAGCAATATTAATCTCTGCTGCTTCCACATGCCGGGAAGATGCCCTCCCTTAAGTACTCATTGTCGACAACCAAGAACAGGTCTAGAATCGCATGAATAGTTGATTTTAGCGCGATATTGGAAACTCTATCAAGGCCAGGAGCCTTGGTGTTACCAACTCTGTTGCAAGATTCCATCAATTCTTCTTTGGTGATTGGTGGAATCGATATCTCTTTTTCCTGTTCGCCAGTACAGTGAAGCTCTGGTTGTTGGGGGAACAACACCGTGACGATTCTCTCCATTAGTGCGGAGCACGTAGGCGCTGGCATTGGTTGACTCTTGAGTCACATCATCTCCACCTTATACGGTCTCCCCCATGGATCCCTTTCCACCTTATTAAGGAGCTCACTCCAGGATTGCTTCTTACTGCTTTTGATCGCTTTGCTGAGCTTCCGGCGTGCCTTCTTATAACGCATTTCCAGGTCCTCAAAGTTTGGCTTCTTACGGCCACGATGGGCGAATCTTCTGGCTGTGTTACACTCTTTCCGTCGAACAGCGACCATGTCATTCCACCAATACACCGGATGTAGATTTGTGGTATGCTTCATGGACATTGTGGCATCGCAGGCTTCCGTCAGTCTCTTCATGATGTTATCTGCCTTTTTAGTAGCATTGCTGCCACTGATCGGGCGTTCGTTCAGTGCTATCGAATAAGAGCTAGGATCGAAACTGCTCACTCTCCAGCCAATGCAGTTGGTCTTCCTAGGCGTCATGGTGACTCTCTGGCGAGTACGTGCCTCCCAGAGTATCGCACGGTGATCGCTTGCTGTGTAGACATCAACTACTCTCCATGAGCAGATCCCCTTTGCAAGGGTGCTGCTCACGAATGTAATGTCCACAATCGAGGTCGCCTCTCCCCTTTTAAAAGTGGGTTCATCGCCGCTGTTCATCAGAACAACATCCAACGCTGACATGGTTTTCAGTACAGCTTGCCCTCTGGTGTTCGTTTCCTTACTACCCCAGTCGACTGCCCAGGCGTTGAAGTCCCCGGCTATTGCCACAGGAAAGTGCTTCTTTACATCCTCAGTCAGTCTGTCTAGGGAGTCCATGAATTCTTCAATGGAAAGGCCCGGTGGGGCGTAGCAGCTGTATAAATGAATACCATCGAACTTAGCCTTGACGAAGCCATCATGTAAACCATCGCTCGTAGTGCTCTGGAGTGGACGCATTCCACAAGCCCAGATTACAGCTTTCCTGCTGGCGTCAGTAATCCAGAATTGAGTGCCGACATATCGATACGGTTCCGAGATCATGGTAAAGTCAAGATTCAACTCTCGCATCATCTGCATAAGCAGGTCATGTGCATCCTCACAATGATTGAGATTGAGTTGGAGTATCTTCATCGTCATTTGTTGAGGATCCTCTGAAGTGTGGGTGCAATTGTCCGAGTTGGCTTTCTCGGTACACAAGGCGCATCGGGGCTTCTCCTTACAGTCCGAAGCCTTGTGACCAGTCGCTGAGCATTTGGCACAGAGTTTGGACCGGTCGACTGTACTCGTGCACTTCGTGGCGAGATCTCCGTAGTATGAGCCCTTGAAACACTTTATCGGTCTCTCCACTCTCCTGATACGGCAATTGCCCCAGCCTATCTTGATTTTGCCGTGCTTCCCCGGGATCTTTTTCGCCGCTGTTGCTGCGAGTGTCATTGAGGCAGTGTGGGTGCCTCCCTATATATTCCGCAGAGACTTGATAGCTTCACGAGCTATTACATGCTCCTCTCCAGCTACTCTTTTGAGATTTTTAAGGACGTCGTCCTTCGACGTCGTCTCATCGAGGTCTTTGATCTCAAGCTGTTCTTGTGCTCCCTTGCTGAGCACCTCGGCCTCGTCCCCTCCGAGGAAAGTGGCGATGGCTGTACGCAGCTGAGGGGCTCCGTTGGTCGTCTTCTTGGTCAAGATGAGCAACATATCCCCGGCCGCTGTCCGGCGGATTTTATCGACGCAATCTCGAGGTTCTTCTGGCGGAACATACTTCTTTACGCGGCGGAGGATGTCCGAGTATCTCTCCTTGTCCTTGGGTCGGACAATCAGGGCATCAGGTCTTGGCGCTGATTTCCAACGGCTCTACATCTGCTTCTTAGGCTCTTTCTTCGCAGAAGGTGGTCTTCCCTTCTTTGCCTCGACCAGCTCCAAACTGACCCATTGGCAGGTAGCTTCCCTTGCGGGGCTGCTTTGCTGGTCAGAACCTGTTGCTTCAGCTTTTTCAGTTTTTGAGCTTCTACCGCAGGTGAGCCTTTCGAGCGTTTTCTCCGTACAGCTTTACATACTTCTCGAGTTGGCGGCGTGATAATCAGATCCTCTTCTTCCGAGTATTTCACCGTTGTTTCGGAGTCAGTCCCTACACGCGATGTGGGTGATGTTAGTGGAGTTTGCACGGACTCAGTAATAAAGAATTAACCTTTGGTGCGTGCCTCCTCCAAGCTCCTGAGCCGCTTGAATGCGCTGCCGATAGATGCCACCTTAAATGTGATCTCCTTGTGGACATTTATTCTGGGTTGGACATACTCATGAAGGTCTGCAATGAGTCTTTCAAGTCGTGCCCATATATGATGACATTCTGTCTCCTGATGAGTCTGCAACTCGTCCCTCCTTGTAGCATCCGAGGCCACGGAGTCCACCTTCAACGAATGTGATGATTGGCTCCTCCCACAATCCATGGAGTCGGCATCAGCTACCGAGGCTTTCACTCGATCGGAACTAATGGCGGGATTTTCCTTCTCAATGATACCCGCATGGGAACTTTGTATTTTGTCATCACTGATTATCGTTAACTGTAGGCTGTTACAGGGAGCCCACCCGATACACTTATGCGTACTGTTGTAGGGAGCCCACCCTGCATGCCTGTTTTGGTCCGCGGGAGCTATTTTATTTCACTCCAGTCTGCTGAGTCAGTAGGTTAACCCAGTTAGGACTTCCCCTATCCGCTGTTATGTCCAGAGAAGGATTTTAGCGTCGAATGGACATGTTTTAATTGTCACATTAAAATCAAAGCTAAAATTATTGAATTTTATAATTATCGGACGACGCAAAGTTTTATACTCTTACCTTTTTTTAAAATATAAGGGAAAAAGGGCTTGATTTAAGGCTAGGGCTTCAGTTGAGACGAATTTCTAATCAAGACATTTGGAGTTGTAGTGGGAATCAAATTTTAATTTAAATATATTTTGTTTAACTACTCGGTTTACAAAAACATGGGCGTGATTTTACAGAAATCTAGGTAGCTAAAATCCCTATCCGTGGGATGATCTGAAGGATTTAAATTTAGGTTTACAAATTTTGCTACTCACAATTCGGTCTGCTAGTTATAAATTATTCGATGTATTTGTAGATCCCTGGGTAAATCCGTAATTTCCTCACCAGCAATTAGTCGCGCTACAGGCTATTATGGATACTTTCACGGAAACACTTTCTCCTACTAGTTGATATTTTAATGAATATTTGGCAGTTGAGTTTGAAGATTTTAAGAGTTTGGTTAAGACTGTCCACAACGCGTTACAATAAACGAATTCCTTATTTGCAAGAAAAGTCACCACTCTCGGTTAAAGAAATTTTATTCCCGGATAATTTCAATTGTTCGTAACTTACTATTAATTCAGTACTATCCCGTGTAGTCGAAGGAAGGATTGAAAAACCGGACCGATTAAATGAACTATTTCCACCAGAATTGTTACTGCTCCGTCGCTGCTTCAAGAATGTTTAATTTTGATTTTTCTGACATTTTTATACGAATTTTGGGGTCACTTGTCACATGAGCTCCAACGAGTCCATTTTTAATTGGTGGAAAATTTCGTATGACTTTACCCACTCTTTTGATTTTCATGGGGAAGTAGTTCATTCAGTTTTTTGGGGTCTTAATTAATCGGTTTGCAGTCGTTCCTNTTATCGCGTGTAGTCGAAGGAAGGATTGAAAAACCGGACCGATTAAATGAACTATTTCCACCAGAATTGTTACTGCTCCGTCGCTGCTTCAAGAATGTTTAATTTTGATTTTTCTGACATTTTTATACGAATTTTGGGGTCACTTGTCACATGAGCTCCAACGAGTCCATTTTTAATTGGTGGAAAATTTCGTATGACTTTACCCACTCTTTTGATTTTCATGGGGAAGTAGTTCATTCAGTTTTTTGGGGTCTTAATTAATCGGTTTGCAGTCGTTCCTTCGCGCACGAATCTTAGTATTGGGTAATTGGGGCATGCTGAGTGTGTCATTTCATCACTTTTGAACTCATTTCCAGTGCCTTTGGAATTTTTTATTGAGTTCAAGTGATGAAATGTACTCAATTTAACTTACAATTGTGGGTTTCAATTACATGGGTTTCAATTTTGGTTCTCAATTACATGTAACTTATAGTTATGATCCTATATAAAATTTATTCTAGTCTTAAATTTCTAGTATAAAATTTTTGGACATTACACCGCCACCTGGGGACGCGCTGCCATAGAAGTTGGGCTTCTCCACCAAGGTACTTTGAAAAGGACAAGCCTTCGCTCGGCGGTGTATGTATGTGTGTATGTGTGTATGCTGTGTGGCCACTTTTTTTTGCTAAAGCTTCCGGACGTACGCGTCGTGCGATTGAAACGAATTTTGTCGCGATCGATTGGTATTCATTTGCTTGAAGCTGGATCAGGTTAGGAGAGAAAACCCCACACCCCTTATTGAGTTTTTCAAAAAAGAAATGTCAAAATTGCTATTCTATGGTTTTATATTTTTTCATTGTTTAATTAATGAAGGAAATTTATATGACATTGAATATTATATAGCATATTGCCTATTGGAATAGTTCTAGCTTATTAAATAGCATATTGAAATTTGAAATTTGAACTATGAAATTTGCTTCATGTGTCCCTTTAAGGGACACATGTATAATTTCCCGATGCGAGTTTAAATTTGAAATCGGAAATTCGAAAATTTCTCAGAAAACATTTCAGTTTTTTTGAAATTCTAATTCACTGAATTTTCAATTCCAAATTTCAACTTCCCGAATTCCAAATTCCAAATTGAAAAATTCAAACTTGGGATTTCGAATTGCAGAATTTGAAATTTTTAAATGGGTTTGCTTTGAAAACCGAGAAGAATGATGAGAATATTTTTTTTCATGCGATCGATGCATCTACATCACCGCGAAAACTCCAAATACGACCGGGGCCTTCTTCGAAGATCGCCATGTCCAAATCGTAAGACCGGATTGTCCGAATTTTTATGGAACTAGTTCCTTTCATTTTGAATCATTTCATGCTGATTATGATAGTGCTGACGAAGGAGGAGAGTCCACCCCTAAGAATGTCTGACACTCATTTTTGGATCCTTATATCTTGACCCTTATATTTTGACCCTTATATCCTGACCCTTATGATTTGCTCCTTATATTTTGACTTTCGCATTGTGATGGAGTGCCATCCGATTGTAAAATTGCACAAAATAAGTATTCTCAGAACTTTTAAGTTCCCCAAGAAATAACTAACCTCTTAATTATCCCTCCAATTTACAAGCAATTAGAAATGATATGAGTGCGTCCTCTCGGTCCGGACAAACGAGTTCCAAAAGAAAATAACTTGTATTAATACTTTTAGGATTGAGGCTTTCGCGGCCATTATTAATGACATTATTGGCTTCCGGATGGATGCCGCATTTGGTTTCAGCATTGCGCCGACGTTTCGCAAACATTGCAGTCTGCATCTTCAGGGCTATGAGCCCCGATTCTGAGCTTCGATATCTGGGGGTTGTCCTTATATGTCTTCCCCTGTGATGGTGGGGGAAGGGGAAGGACGGACAGCCAATCGTATGTTTTTAATTGATCAGCTGGTCAATTAAAAAACCGGGAGGACGGTTTTCCAGATAGGGTTCACTTGATATCCTCTGTCCCTGTTGAGGTTGTTAGGGGGCTCAGGGATGGTCGTGGATCCTTTGCACTCGACAGCATCTGTCCGATCTTCTTTGGGGGTTGGAAGATCTTCGGATTTTATGTATTCCGAGTACTTTACTTATGCGCTCTGTCGTGCCTCACACATAGGGGAGGAGGACCACTTTCGGTCTTTCCTGGTTTTCCTCACGATCAGTCTCTTCTCGGGGAGCGGAGAGCTTGCTCTGTAGCTTATGTATGACCTTTCGAATTTGATAGATGTTATATCCATTCTTGGTCAGAGCTGTCTCAAGATGTTCAACTTCATTGTCGACGTTGGAGGGTTGGGAGATTCTCAAGGATAAACTCAAGTGCTCTATACATTAGGGAGCTAATGACAAAGTTCTTTTGGGAGGGGTGGTGATAGGAAGTGGTATTCAGATACCTATCTATGTGAGTTGGCTTGCGATATACTTGGTGGCCTAGAGTGCCATCCTCGTTGCGTCGAACCAGCACATCTAGAAATGGAAGACATCTGTCTTGTTCAGTTTGCATGGTGAACTTGATGCTTGCGTACTAAGTATTCAAGGAGTACCAGAGTACTCCTGGAGTTCCAACTTCAGGAACTGAGTTAGAGCAGTCTTTCCATGTGACGAGATGACAAAGGTGTCATCCATATACCTGAACCAGACAGTTGGTTTCTGAAACGCTGACTTCATCGAACATTTTGAGAACGAAGTATTAAACACAGCGTCTCAGAAACCAATTGTCTGGTTCAGGTATGTGGATGACACTTTTGTCATCTGGTCACATGGAAAGACTGCTCTAACTCAATTCCTGGAGTTCTTGAATACTTAGTACGCAAGCATCAAGTTCACCATGCAAACTGAACAGGACAGATGTCTTCCATTTCTAGATGTGCTGGTTCGACGCAACGAGGATGGCACTCTAGGCCACCAAGTATATCGCAAGCCAACTCACACAGATAGGTATCTGAATGCCACTTCCTATCACCACCCCTCCCAAAAGAACTCTGTCATTAGCTCCCTAATGTATAGAGCACTCAAAATCTCCCAACCCTCCAACGTCGACAGTGAAGTTGAACATCTTGAGACAGCTCTGACCAAGAATGGATATAACTGATGAAGATGTGTTATTCGACCGTAATAATGGTTATAACATCTATCAAATTCGAAAGGTCAAACATAAGCTGCAGAGCAAGCTTTCGGCTCCCCGAGACGAGACTGATCCTGAGGAAAACCAGGAAAGACCGAAAGTGGCCCTCCTCCCCTATCTGAGAGGCACAACAGAACGCATAAGTAAAGTACTCGGAAAACATAACATCTGAACGATCTTCTGACCCCCAAAGAAGATCGGACAGATGCTGCCGAATGCACAAGATCTAAGATCAACCCTGAGCACACCAGGAGTGTACGCGATCCCTTGCTCATGCGGCAAAGTGTACATTGGAGAAACCGGGAGGAAGATCAGTACACGGATCAAGGAACACCAGCGGTGTTCCAAATACGGTCACTTAGAACAGTCTGCCCTGAGCCAGAATGTTGGCCAAATCTCAAGGGAATTTTGAAAGGAAACACCCAGAGGGTTTGGAAATCCATAAAAACCCTAACAACCTCAACAGGGACAGAGGAAATCAAGTGAACCCTATTTGGAAAACCATCCTCCCGGTTTTTAAATTGACCAGCTGATCAATTAAAAACATACGATTGGCTACCCCTCCCCTTGCCCTTTCCCCACCATCACAGTGGATGACATGTAAGGACATGTAAGTACAACCCCCAGACATCAGAGCTCAGAATCGGAGCTCATACCCCTGAAGATGCAGACTACAATGTTTGCGAAACGTCGGCGCAATGCTGAAACCAAACGCTGCATCCATCCGGAAGCCAATAATGTCAACTTGTATCAATACTTTCCTGAGAACTTTTTGCCTTCCTGACGCACGCAGTGCAATGCACACACTTACTTATGTGTTGCCAGGTGTGCTCGTGCTATATTGGACTCAATTACTTCATTTTAGACACGAGGGAATGGTTCAGTAAAAATAAATAGAGGAAACGATTCAAATAACCAAAGAATCCTATATTCTATAAACTGATATGAAATGAGTGAAGAAAATTTATATAAATCCAAAAGGAGTGGGTCGTCACCCAAACTGATAACTAATATAAAAGGAATTAAAACGAAATAATACTTTTGTTCAATATCGAAACCCTGAGAGTAAGGTAAATGCAAAATAAGAACAACCAAAATACACTTTTTTTGCATTCACCTTCCTCTCAGGGTTTTGATATTGAACAAAATTATTATTTCGTTTTCACTACTATTATATTAGTTATCAATTTGGGTGACGAGCAACTTCTATTGGATTTATATTAATTTTCTTCACTCATTTCATATCAGTTTATAGAATACAAGATTCTTTGGTTATTCGAATCGTTGCCTCTATTTACTTTTACGGAACTATTCCCTGGTCCCTAAAATGAAGTAATTAAGTCGAATATAGCACGAGCACACCTGACAACACATACATAAGGGTGTGCATTACACTGCGTGCGTCAGGAAGGCGGAAAGTTCTCAGGAAAGTATTAATACAAGTTATTTTCTTTTGGAACTCGTTCCTCCGGATCGAGAGGGCGCAATCATATCATTTCTAATTGTTTGTAAATTGGAGGGATAATTAAGAGGTTAGTTATTTCTCGGGGAGCTCAAAAGTTCGGAGGAGACATATTTTGTGTAATTTTACAATCGGATGACACTTCATCACAATATTTTGACCCTAATACTCTAACCGTTATATTCAGTTTCTTGTCTTTAAACCTTTATAGTTTGATTTTTCTAGTTTGAGCCTTACATACTTAGCTAAAATTGGGTATGACCCATTATGCAGCAAACCAATAACTTCCTGAGCGATACACTCGTTCTGTTCATTCGATTATTGGCAATGTGTTTACATTTGTCCCTGTAATAATTTTAGAAAAAATCAGTGAAACAGTCATCTACTTCAGGAAAAATCAGAGCCGGGATCAGAAAGGACTGTCAAAATATGTGTCAGAAATGAGGGTTAGAAACATGCCTCAGACATCGGCGTCAAAATACGAGTATCACAGTATAACGGTTAGAATTCAAGAGTCAAAATGTATGGGTTACAATATAGGAGGTCAGAACGTAAAGGTCTGAATATAAGGGTTAAACTCTGCCCTAGGGCGGAAAGTGTTCACTTTTCTCCCGCTCATCAGGGAGAAAAGTATGAACACTCCGTGCAGGGGTGTGAACAAAAATGTTGACGGAAATCACATTAATTTAGTTATCGAAAAACGAGAAATTAAAAAAAACATAACCAAACTCGTCTGTCAATACACCAGTTTTTCAATGGATATTTTCTTCTAAAGTTTCAATTTCTCGGCAAAAATCGATGGAGAAACTGTAACCATTGACTTTTTCGTCCTTTAGTTTTGACAGGATTCTCCTGACACATTGGAAACGAAAAACTAGAAAGATACACTACATGGCCAAAATCAATTTACATTTACCTGTCCATTTCAATCCATCATAGGTGATGTGTTAAGGGATCCCTAGGTAGTAACTCCTAGACATAAAAAATGCGTGCTTGGGAGAATTATTTGGACGTATTGAGCATTGATATGTCCCAAAAAAAAAATTCATGGGAATATTTGCATGTTTGCAGATATTTATTCTCATATTGATTGAATAACTAAGTACATCGAACACTGAATTTCATTGATATATTCCAAGAGAAAAGGAAATTTATCCCATCATGCATAATCATGAACAGTTCTTTTGAATAAATTTTTGGCGTATTATCTTTTGAATGATCTCATTTCCACTCAATTTCAATTATCTAAACCTAGTAAGCAAACTTCAATCAGTCCACAAGTTCTTATTGTTGAATCTTTCACTCAATTAGGTTTGGATATTTGATGCACATATACCTAGATAACATCCAAATAAATCTATATCTCGCAAATAGGAATAATTCTTTGTTGTCCTCCGGCATGACTATGTACATATTACGTGTCATTTTAATCGTTTAATCACGTTGGTTGCAATGGAAGCAAAGTGAATTCTTATTTCACCAAGGCCTCCACATGGCTTCCTCCTCCTTCACTGGTACTTGTCTACTGGGTGATGTTGCTATAAGTCCTTCACTTTCGACATGACTAGGTCGCCTTTCATCACATATATTCAATTCAGTCTGTGCTTGGAGCTCAAGTCGTGTCTTCAACTTCTGCGAAGTTGTAGTAAAATCCAATGGTTGTTCGGATGGCTCAATCCTTCGACTTTTTGGTGGTTTACTACCATCAGGTGTCCAGTCTTGCGACATGTTTACATGTGGTCTCTTTACAAGTTTGTCAGTGGCTCTCAGCATTGACATATTTGTCGCCGCCCAAATAGCAGTGGGCGGGTTAGGTCCAATGCTAATGCCATTTGCAGCTGCAGCGGCAGCTAACTGAACGTAGTGACTAGGAAGTAAAAAAACGACTTGTCCATCGGGTAACCTCGAAGGGATTACCTGTACCACTGAGAGCATATTAGGATTTGATCCTGACATCGATTGCTGGTTGATGATAATACCTCCCGGGAAATGAGTATCTAGAGTTGGCGGATGAGCTTGACTGAAAGCTGATGGTGGCCTACTGCTGTTGTTGTTCTCATCTCCTGCTGTTGTGCTGCTGTCTGGTCTCGGTGTCTCCAATTCTGAAATTTCTGATTTCATCACTGCCGAGGTCAATGCTGTACTACAGTGGGACGCTACTGGTGTATACTGGTCAAGAGGATTTGGGCTCGTTACACCTGATATGCGATCTGCGACGCTCCCTGGACTACTGCCCATTCCACTGTCTGGTCGGGAACCCAAGTCCAAATCCAACTCTGATACGCAGCTATCCAAATGACGTAATAAGCGTTGTTTCATTGCTGGATCCATTGGAGCGGTATTCCCAGTTATTATATCTGGGGCATCCAAGTAACGGTTTATCTGCAAAACATGTGATTCTTTTATGAATGAAGAAGTGAAAAAATTTGGAAAGAGTGATTCATGCAAAAGTGATGTATATATTGACGAAATTTCGTTAATGAGAGGTAATCCTGGAATCTAAACGGAGAAGTTGAACTATTTGAACTATTTAAAAAAAAGAGTAGAAAGGAAGAATAATTGTCCCCTGAACTTGATTATTTCTTCTAATTGCTTTATCGGAATGGAAATGGAGAGAGCCCAATCGCATGCTACGGGGGACCACGGGAAAAAGCTTAGTCAGGTATGAGGATTAACCGGTTGCTTTCGTGTGAATCTCACAGTACTATTTACGCGCGCCATGATAGAATCTCTCACACTTAGGTTTGCGTTAGCCACTGCCGCTGAACAGATCCGTTTCACACAGAAAACATCTGCGGGTAGCTGTATCTTTGATACCACCGTAATTTTACGTGGATACGGCTATATGGTCTTCCAGTCAATGTGCATAACATGTGACTCCACTTTAATTTTTATAAATGTGTAATCGTTATAATCAGAATAATTTATACTTTTAAAAGCTATTCACTATAAGAGTCGCTGTCAAATAGTCTGGTGACAAAATGGACTAATGATGTAACGTAAATTATTTTTGAAATTTAAATTATAATTTATAACTCTGAAATCTATACCTAAAACGTTTAATTTTCGAAATAACAAGGAGTACTGAATTAATACTCCAAAGTTGGAAACCAGTGGGTCCACCTTGAAATTCAATCGATAAGGACCGTGTGTATTTGAAAAGAGTAGCGGGTACCTGTATGATTGACTTGGTGTTGACAGAAATTCGAAGAGCCAGAAATCAATTTCGTTGATATTTAATATATTGCTACTAGAAGGTGTAGCGGAGTTTGGTGTCTGAGGGAGCAGACGGAGTGTTGGTTTGTGTACTCGAGAAGAAGTCACACTGTGTTAAATAAATGATCTTCGGAAATTGTCCCGAGTGTCGTGTTGTAATGTGGGGTATATTAGATTCTTCGTTGAGGCCGATGCACCACTGCATCCACGTCGCGGCCTCGGGTAACGCGAAATGTGGTAATCTCAGTTTTTTGATTCTATTGAAGATTTAGTATTAGGATCACAGTGTCTAAAGAAATAGACTTCCGTGCATGATTGAAAAGTTTCTGGAAGGTTGGATTGATGTTGTCAGACGATCGAGAGGTTTTAGCTTCTACAAATCGACTTAGATGAGTTCTACTATCCGCCCTTTGGATTCTACAAATTGTAACAGGAGGATCATAATTTCCCCTTCACGTCAACGTTATTCTTAATATCCTCGGGAATCCTAACAAACCGCCATAGAATTCGTTTAAGTGAAAATTCGAATTAGGCGCTAAGGAATCAAGTCGACATCTAGGGCGCAGACGCCAAAATTATCGATTACCCGTCATGTAACAGGTTGCCTAGGGCCCACCGACTCACTCTTGCCTTGGCGGTACACGTGTGTACATCGTGATTATTGTGTCGTATATTAAGTCGATTATATTTATATTGTAATTTATATTGTGTGGGAAGAGTCGGTTCCCGAGGAATTAAACAAATAGAGTCGAAGATTTTGTTCACATTAATTGTGAGTATTCGTTTATTGAACATTCTCGCCTTGTTTTCCTTTCTCTCTCTGTCTGTATCATTTAACTCTTGGGTTTTCCAACTTCCTCCTCTGAGATATCCTGAGTTAAGTCGAACGTTGTTGGTTGTCGAGAAATCAACTGGCGCCCATAAATGATAGGTTATTGTCGAATATTTATTTAATTGTCGAAAAGATTCTCCAGAGCCCTGACAGCCCTTGACCCAGGCCGCGTCAGGTGAAGGCCTTCTGCTAGTGCATTTTCATTGTCGAATTTCAATTGTTTAATTATCGAATTATATAATTAACTAAATAATTATTCTATAAAGAGGCCTGTCTCAATGGCGCCCAACGTGGGGCACAGTTGGATATTTATATAAATTAATTGTGCGAGTTTAAGGAGAAAATTTAAGTCGAAAATTTTTCTCAACGTGTTAGAGAGAGACAGTGAAATTCTTAATTCCGACGTTCGGGCATACGGCCGACCGTCGATGTTTACATTCAACAATAAAGCGATCGACTTGGGATTATAACGCTCTACTGCTCTTCTTTTCTTTCTTTTCCTTTACATTTCACTTTCACTCTTTAATCTTCCTTTAGGAGTGATATATTATTGAATTGAACGAAATATACTTGATGTATTGTATGTTATTTAATTGCCATATTTGTCGACTCTTCCACACGTGTTGAAATTTGTATGGTAATTTCGTCCGTCCGTAGTCGAAATTATCATGATTGAAAATCGATTGGGAAACAGCCGTGACCTTGTCCGTCTGTAGTCGAGGCGCGGAGAGGAACTCAGTCGAAGGGATTGTAATTATTTTGAATTTAAACTTCTCACTTCTTGTCGAGTTTTTTTGGGAAATATCGAATTGTCTATTCAGGTGTCGATTAAGATAATATGAGAAAATATCTTTGGCTAATCGTTTTCGATTTTCGTGGGAAATTATTAAATAATTAGAAACTTTTTATTAGTACGTGATGTTTACGACCCCGCTCGAAGGAAAAAGAACAAAAAAAATCGAACGATCAGAAAGAATATTAAGGTCGAATAGGAATTTAGATAATACGATGACATTAGATCAGGACCAATCGGAAGACGGGCTCACGCAAGAAAATGCCGCGACCGGTGCCGTGGGGGGTAGGGGGCGTAATCCATCATGGACAATACCACATCAAACGTCAGCATCCGTGAATCGACCAGGAACCCCACTAATGAGTACAAGGGGGAGGGGAATACATGTAACTCCGAGTAATCAAGCGCCGATTTATGAAGAATTGGTAGAATCAATGCAAAGTTTTCATTCGAGATTGAATAAAGTCGAGAGTTTTAAATACGATATTGAGAGTTTACATTCCAAAGTAGATCAAGTTGTAGATTTTATTGTCGGGCAGAGTCAAGCCACATTAAGGTCGACGGATGGAAATTCCCGTCGACAGGAAAATAATTCAAATGGAAACTCTAGAGAAAATTCGAATGACGATTCGAATAGGGATATTAATGTTAATGATCCCCCGAGGGTTGACGAACCAATAGGGGGAGAGAATGATTTACCGAGCGGTGAAAGAATATCGCGAGAAGTTGATGAGAATTTAGTCGCAGAAAATTCTGAAAATTTTGAGGGCCCGACTTTGCCACGTGGCTCAGCCCCGTCTGAGGGAGGGGTACATGGAGCAACAGTCGATGATGGATTACGCGCGAAAGTACCTCCGCAAGGAAGGGGAGCGTTTGTGCCTGTGGGGACAGATATTCGGGGCGGAACGTCTGGACTCCAACCCGAGCATTGGTTCAATCGAGGGAATGGTTCTGTTGATAGCTAGATTCGACATGTTCACTTCGCCTCAAATGATAACTCATACTCGAATTCTCAAAGAAGTCGAGAGAAAATTCAAATTTCTTTTGTATCGCCGGATGGTCAGATAATTGTCGAGGAGCGTTACGCTAATGAGTTTCGACGGTTTTCTGCGAATCCAGCAGGTATCAATTTGGGTTACCATACTACACGTTATACACAGCCACAAACACAAACACAATTACAAGCACAACCATAATACATGAATCATTTTAATACGAATCTATCCCACTCTTCATTTCGTACTATTGAATTGAATAATAGGACAGGAAGGGGTAGTCTTTCACTCGACGAATACACGTCGAATAATCTAGATACAGGGAATTTTCAGGAAACCCTGTCGGTCAATCCACCGTCGACTGGAATAAAACAACCGTGGGATATGAACACCGGAATTAAGGTTACGCGATTAGTTAGCGATTGGAAACTTAATTTCCCACAAAGTGAAAAAGATCCTGATCAATTCCTACTCATATTAAGGGAACGACTTGAAACCACCGGAATAAATAAAGATCTATTCGTCCCTTGCCTATCGTCTATTTTCGAAGGTCCACATCGAAACTGGTATCTAATCAATAAGTCGAAATGGCGAACTTGGAAAGAGTTCGCAACCGCATTCCGACAAAATTGGGCTGTGAAAAAAGACGACATGGATTTGTATACCGAGGTGGGAGAATTAACAGTCGAAAAGGGGGAAACCCTACCGGAATTCAGGTATCGCGCTCATTGTCTTTTCGAACGTATGTTAAATCCTCCCACGTTTAAAAAACAAATCGAACAAATAATCAAGAAATTCAACCCTAGAATCGCGCTCGAGATCTTGCCATTGACTATTAAAAATTACGATGATTTTCTGGGTTTTACTAATTTACGTGGCGACGTCTTTAAACAAGTCGTCGATCAGAAAAGGGGGAGGTACCCCAGAAAGAAAGTCGAATTAAATTGTATTCTTGATAAGGAACCCGAGGATGAAGACGATGACACTACTTCAAGCGACGAATTATCGGACAAAGATGAAGTAACGAAATTGAATGCGTTAGAATCGAAAACTCGGTCAGTCCCCAATCAATCGAAAAGTCGAGAATCGAAGTCAATGGTACGGAAAAGACTCGAACAAAATCTCGCAAGCTTTGAACAGAAAAACAAAGAAAGCAATAAATCGCCTGCCCAGCACGATCCTAGAGGAAGACGAAAATTCGATTCCCCTAGAGACTGGTCGAAAGTACTATGTTATAACTGTGGACAGATGGGACATTCTTCACGCGGTTGTACTGCCGATAGGCAGGAAGTGTGTCACATCTGCCAACAAGTGGGACATTTAAATAAGAATTGTTCTAAGCTTTCGGGAAACGCCAAAAGCTCTCAGTGAAATCGTCTCCAATCACTGAAATAAAGAGCAAAACGGAGGGAAAACAGGTTGATCGTGCTGCACAGACGGAAATAAAAATCGAGGGAGGCGAGATTAAAATTAACAAGGTAAAGACACTTGAAAGTCCACCAGTTAAAGTCGAGTCATCTTCGCTATTAAATATAGAGGATAATAAATTCGAGGGTGAAACAGCGATCTCGCTGGATGTCGATGAGGAATCGTCGGAAGAGTGCGAGCTTTCCGACTTTGAAGAAGAAGATATCGCGCCTCGTGACGAGTCTAATGATTATGTAACTAAGTTATCGACAATTTCCAGCAAGAATCCCGCGAGTCAAGTCGAGACACAATCACCCAATGAGAATATCGGTTCCTTGAAAAATTGGAGGCCTAAAAACCTCCCCTTTCATTTAATTCATCATCTGTGACAACGTCGAATTTATCGAAATGAAAACGGAACTAAAGAACCTATCAATTTAGTTAAAGCTGAGGTGACAATTTCGATTTTTGGACAAAC